GAAGGAGCCCGAGATCGAATTACACTTCCAACCGCCGTAGTTGGGCGATGAAAGAGAGAGATAGTCAGTGTCGGATTGGAAGTCCAATTCGACCTCGAGGCAAGGGGCCCGCGCAGGGGCCACTTACAGACCATACTTACGAGATCTACGGTCTACCCAACCTCCGGTTAGAACCTCCTTTTTACACCTTACGCAGAAGTTAAATATATATAGATTTTGACCTCTTCGTCACCCACGGTTCGAACCATCCCTGTGATAGGAATACCAACACTAAGGCTTCAGCGCTCAACGGCCTCTCGAGCAGGATGGTGGTGCCAACAATCTCGCCAAATCTCGCAAGGATGACGGCTTGTTCTGACTTGCTTCTTTTGATCAATAGGCCTTCAAGTACTGGGAGGTAAGTTTCCTCTAGCTTGTCGTTGATCGTAGTACCGCCATTGACACTTTGGTGTTCAATGATCCGCATCAATTGGGTCTCCGGGCTACCGAGCAGTGAATCTTGTACAAAGCGGCAAGCGGTCGCCGCGAAAATGAATAGCGGAGTAGCTTTCTGTATAAGAGTCTGAAGTCTTTCAGCACCCGGCCAGTCTGCGTCAAGTGTGGCGTCGTGTTCTGCATTCCAATTCTCTCTTATGTTGCTTAGTTCGTAATCGAGGAACACTCCTATATCATGGTCGATGATGTCTTTAGACACCTCATGGAGGATGAATTCCCTATACGACCCCAAGATCGGACGGCGTGCGAAATGCACTGCTGTATCCGGTCGACTTGTGATGAAGACCTTAATTCTGCAGAAGCTGGTTTCAGCAAGCTCATGCGGCGCAGTCATTGACGCGAAGCCACCGAGAACAAAGTCGTACTGCACAATTCATTGGCTGCCAGAGCGAGACTCCCTGCTAGTCATAGTTACGGGTAGATAGCGATGAATATACACGAGTGACCGCGAATGGGCGTACTTGGACGCGATAAGTATTTGAAGAACGCCGAAGTATTGGTGCTATATTCATTGAGCCCAGGGATTCAAGGTAGACTACCAGTAACTTCAAAAAAGAAAAAAAAAGGGAAAGAAAGAAAGGAAAAGGTTGTTGAATTACCTAAAAGAGTGTATGCTCAACCAGATCAGAGATACTGGTCATCTTTGGTGCTTTCTCTAGTCGTTCAGTCATAAGCCTGCCACGTTTGAGACATTTGAAGCCCCTCCACCAAAGATCCAAGTCTTCCATCGATGGCAAAACCATCGATCTCTAGCCTCTCCAATTCGACATGGAGACTGTCCAAGGGCAGTGAGAAACACTCTATGAACTCTCCTTCCTCCAGGCGCGGCTTTGGATTGCGGTTTTCCTTTGCCCCCATGTCAATATCCACATGGATCATCACAGAACAGGAGCTAAAGGAAGTAAGTATCCCAACGATGAGATTTGGCAACGATTGAGAGTGACAAACTTGGAGAAGCCAGGAGCTTGTAGGACATTAGCACTCAAGGTCGTCAATGCAGCTCAGATTGGCTTGGTGACTTACCACCATAAAGCTTGCGACGATTTCCAGGATTCGGCTTGACGGTACCGACGTATCCTGTCTCTTCAGCGAGTTCGCGGACCGCACACTGCTCGACTGTTTCATTTTTGTCGATCAACCCCGCGGGAAGCTCGATGCAGACTTTGCCAACAGCTGGGCGAAATTGCCGCTGAAGAAGAAGTTCTAGGCCAGTGTCTTTCTTTATCACGGCAATGATGTGGACCGCGTCGACGGAGCTGCCTGCCGCGCGCGTCTTTCTCTCTACTCCCTCCCAGACGCGTTCCTTACCATCGACGTCTCTGTAGTTAATCCTAGACGACCGGTTAGATCCATTGGGCTCTGTAGCTCCATCCAACATGCTCGTTTCAGGGATACCGACTTGACCAATGTCATCCATTTGGCATCTCCAATCTCCTGCAGGATGGATCGTTAGCCGTATTTGGTGATCCAGGATGTCAATTAAACTTCCTCCGCCTTACCAGAGGCTCAGATAAAACTACGTGAGGAGTCGATTTGTCTGCCATGTTGAGCAAGCAACTGTTCCGACGTATGCAAGCCTGGATTGGTGAGAATCTTCAATGTGGTCTCTTTTACGATTCACACCATTCAAGCATGGAGGGGTAAAAACTGGTGGGGTGGAGGGGCAAGCCAAAAGTGCGGGGTTGCATCTTCGGTCAAAGGAACGAGGCGCGTTCAATTGACTCTGACATAGCGACACGAGTTGCTGAGGTTCGGGAGGCTGGAATCATTTATTTCCGTCACTCTTTGGCTTCATCCAAAGGTTTTCCTTTCACACAGCCTTTCCTAGATCTAATTTTGGTTGGTAATTCAGTCCGCTGGGCGCCATCGGAGAGGGTTCGTTCTCTTGAGCCCAGCGCGATACGGATGCAGCGCACGCGTCGTCCGATACTCGCATGTCGAGAAATTGCATTCAGTCGATAGATAGACATTCGTGTGACGTGTACAGTGACGGTGGGAACTAAATAAGGTGATGCTGTTTCACACAAACGTCTGCAGGTCAGGCGTAGAGACTTGAGGGCTTCGATGTCTACCTTGCGCCTCATGCGTGGTTGCGACCAGGTGGAGTCGCTCTCCTGCGCCGACACGCTGTTGACATGGGAACATACTTGGTCCAGGAGCCTGCTGTTTATTGGATTGAGAATGTTCCGAACATATGCTCGAATGGTGAATACATGTTCAACAAAATCGGAGTAGGGGCTGAGTTCGTCTGGTTTTGCTCTCTTCCGTGCTTTCTAGTCCTCCAGGCTGAGTTCCGGGAGGTGGTTGATAATCTTCTTGAAGGTCGGGTCAACTTTAATCAACCGCCGGTATAGTGTAGAAAGTCCTTAGCTTGGATTGGTGTTTGGCTCTCCTACCTCTGTTTGATTGATGGCTGCGGAAACATTCTGCATATCAAACGTGAATGGCGCTATTCTTGGGTATACTACGCTCGCTGCCTGCAGAAACCTACTCCCTGCCTTTGGAAAGTCTCAACAGAGCGTCTTAGCACGACTCAGTTTCGAGGGCCGAGGTTATTGCACTTGAGGGCAATTGTTCGAGATGCTGGATGTCTCCGGAGTTGTGAACTAGGAATAGTAATCTGAGTTTGGGTAGGGCGTGTCGCGTTCTGGCCCGTGACGCCACGTGAAATCCCCCTCAACACTTTGTGAGCGAAATCTTCACGGAGACTCTTGATGGTGACCTTCAGATGTCGGAACATGCCAAATCCTAAAACGAAAGGTGGTTTACTTGATTTGAGAAGAAAGGACAATCAATCGCTGTGTTGATGCTTGTCTGATACTCACACCCATGCGCACATTCAGAAAACAAACTCCGAATTACTCACGCAATCCTCGCGAAGAGCAGTCGACAAGGACGAGATCAAATTCATCAAGATGAGGGGGCGATGACAAAGCTGCTTTACATTTCAGGTTGGACATAATCCAATCCTGGCTGCGAACTTTCAAATCCAACCCGAGCATGATATCAAATTATCACACGTAGACAGTCCTCTCGATACTTCCTCCCGCCTATTATTCCCTATACCGGCGCGGGTTGTATCGCATTTCGTACTCTCCCGCCTCCCTATCATAGAACGTTCCATCGATGTCTGAATCAGAGTCTCACTCATTCATATAAGCCTGCATGTCTCTGAAGGTTGGTTTTCCACGGATCCCACGGTCACGCCAAAACTGAGTGGCTCTAAGCTCTTCACTAGGAGTATGCCCACTAGGGTTGTCGTCGAGCTCCAAGTCGTCAGACCCTTCGGGACGGAAATATTCCATGTCACTCTCTTCGTCGTCCTCCTCGTCATCCTCTTCGTCGTCACCTTCGTTATGCTCTACGTCCCCACCTTCCTCGTCGATTGCAGCGTTGCGTCCAGGAATGAACACGCTGATGCCGTCAAGATCTTGTACGGTCAGGCACTCCCTGCTCTTCTGTCACATTGTGGAGAATTGAGACTGATAGCCATTCAGCCAGGGGTATTCAAACGCGCTCTTTTCGTGACGGACGCGTCTTCTTAACATCCGAGAGAGCATATCTTCGGCAAAGCTGGGGGGTTCGAGCGCCGTGAAATCTGAAGCAGCTCGCAACGGCGCTGATCCATGCATCCGTTCACTCCGCACGGAATGGTCAATTGAAGTCACTGGCATCACTCATGACCTCCGTCAGGTCCTTTCCAGCAAGCGGTGAAGTATAGTTCTATATCAGCTACCAACATGTGTGAGTGGAAGACAAAGACCATGGATGCGTGTGATCCCTTTCCTGGGTATTAGGGGATGTTTCGGCAATCTTGGACAGTCGATGAATGGAACCCCTCGTATCTTCCACCACGATGACAGGCGCAAGCAGAGACGAGACCCTTGCGTTCAAGAAGCGACATGTCAGGCGCGAACTCTTGATAGTCTTGGCTGAGGATGGATATCGACGACCTAACTTTTGGTACCAGCCTTTTGTGCGAGCTTGGCCCAACTTCGGGATTGCCAAATTCAGCAATAACCTGGTCCACGATTTCTGCCGGCAAATTGAGCAGCGATGGTTTCGATGAGGAACTTGGATCACGTTGCTCAGACCCAGTTCCACTCATCCGGGTAGGGAATTGATTAATCCCAGCAACTTTTCTTCTTCTTTTTTCTTCAGGTTTCTGTCTGGTTCAGCCATGCACATATTACACCTAAAAAAGTATTGAACAGGAATCGGGCAAAGGTACATATAAGAACCCAACCCCAACCAACCAGGCAGTCTTGCTGATGCATTCGCCAGAAGTAAATACACCGGTCACAAATGAGCGATTCTATTTTCGTGAAATCTATTTCCAAGCGTCTGAAAACATTGCTGGCGAGCTCCGTCGAGACATCATAGATACCAAAATCGTGAATTCGAAGACGAGACTCAGTAGTCTTTGATTTTTATACACAGATTTGTCAAAATTATTTACAGAGAAGGTAGCAGAAGAATGTATGCTTTTTCAAATCCCCAATTCTCACCCTCTCCATCCCTGGATCTCGTCAAGAGTGAGGACATACTCGCTCTCGTAGATCTATCAAGCGTTAGTTCCACATGTGTAGCACGCCTCAGACAGGGGTTCATTATGCTACATACCTTCTTCAAGTCATCGACACTGTTCCATTCGGTGTTGTTGATGAAGCCATCGCTCCAGACGCAGAAGTACAGCCAGTGGGCCTCGTACGCCTGGAGAAGATCGGGGAAGGGAGCGCTGCCGACCTCCGTGGCCGCAATGAGCTTCTTGTCCTGGCCAAGCGTGATGAGGTCATTGTATTGAGTTGTCATGGGCTGTGGTCAAGTTAGCGACGGGTTCTGCATAGTGAAACGGAGTGAAGAAGAGCTTACTCCGTGGCCTTGAGCGTAGACATCAGCACTAAGAACGTCTACGGTATCGTCACCGGGATACCAGTCCGCAGCAACCGAGTTCCAGATCCAGACAAGGTTGTTCAGCTCGTGGTGGTTGGTAAGACGGTCGTACACCAGAGCCCAAAGCTTCTTGCACGCCTCAGGGCCCTTGGCTCCCCACCAGAACCACGCACCCTCAGCCTCGTGAAGCGGGCGCCAGAGAACGGGAACACCGGCATCCTGAAGCTTCTTAAGCTGAACAGCAATGGCGTCAATGTCGCGGATGATGAGGGTGTAGTTGGCGTTGGTGGTATCAGCGAGGGCAGTCGAGACATCAAAGTCGGTGGCGCGAGTGTAGAATCCGCTCCACCACTTGTTCTCCTCTGTGTCGTAAAGACCCGTGGGCGCGTTCCAGTGCCAGAGCACGGACACGATACCGCCGCGCTCGTGGTGGGTGATGGCCTCCTCGACCGCTGTGCCGACGGTTCCGCGCTCAACGCGGCTGGGCGAGTAGTCCATCAGGTCGACGCTGACGAGGGCGGGTGACTTGCCGATGGTTTCGTTAACCCAGTTTGCGTAGTTGAGTTCCTGCTGACCAGAGAGGATGTTCTTGCCGTAGATAGAGCGAAGGTAGGTGTACAGAGCGTTGGCATCGGCGTTGGCCTTTGCGTTGACGAGAGCCGTGTTGACATTGTGAGGTCCGCGGGCCTCGGTGGGTGTGAGAGTGATGGAGTCGATAAGGTACCATCCCCAGTGCGTGACGATGTCGAGAGTGTTGTTGCCTTCGTTGAGCAGCACCTGGCCAGCAGAGACGTTGGCCCAGGTTTCGGTCGCGGCCAGGAGAACCTCACTGGCGGCACCGCCGTTGAGGATGACATTCGTGCGCTTCTCGCCGTATATGCCGGCGTATCTAATGTTGAGGTCGAACAGCTTCTGACCTTCACCCTGGCAGTCAAGGTTGATAGTAACCTTGTCAGTGGCATCTTCGAAGCCGGTTACGTAGCCAGTACCTGTGGAGCACGGCAAGGTTAACAAGCAACACGGGCAGGATTGACAGTCAAACGTGTCATACCTGTGAAGCCAGCTTGCTCAGTCGCGACGGTAGTACCGTTGAGAACTCCATTTTCGGCCTCGTAGACCTTGGCTCCGGTGCTGCCGATGCAGTTCTGCGAATACGCGCCAGCGGCAAACGCGAGGACGGCACGGAGCGAAAGCGCAGTAGATCTCGCCATGATTTCACGGAAGATCAACGCGGGGGTGTTACAACCTAAGAAAGAAAAAGGAATTGGAAAGATCGGTCGAAAGGGAGTCGTCTCGAAGAACTAGAGGTATGGCTTTGCCGGTGGGATATCTATGCTTATTATAAACGACAGTCGGGTGGCTCTCCTTCCATCTCCAAATTATCCTCCCTCATCGTGTCAATCCACCCTCTATTGTAGGGGGTTCATGGGGGAAGGGTATGGCGATCGTTAAGATTCCAGGGGTGACGGAGGTTAACTTTGCGTCTCCACAACCCATCCCGTTTCTCTTGATTGAGCAGCATAGTTGCCGGGGCCTCATCATATCGAACCAGGATGGCGGAAGGGGGCTTGGCTTTCATAAATTTGAAGACGGAGTGTGACGCTCCGTGTGCTGTGAGCCTGTGAAAAGGAGGCACACTTTGCGCGGGGCCGACCCCGGCTCGGTACTTTCGTGGCTTCTGAGGCCAGATGTCAGGAGACACATCTCTTTGCAGATAGAGGTCACGCAATCTAAATATAATCCAAGCAAAGTGATCTCTGTTCCCTTTCTCTCGCACATCCGCCGTCCGAAGTGTCTGTTGGGGACGATTCACCGGCTGTTCATCCGAACTTGACAGTTCCTTTTTCATGATGGGTCCTTGTCGATTACACAGCCGGTGGACCGCCGCCAAGGGTTTTACATAAACATGGTTTGGCCCGGCTCACCGGTCCACTTCGGCCTCACCTAAGTTCGAAAATTTTGGTGCCTTTGGGCCTCGGGTCTCGAGGGTATCGCGCCCCGTCTACATGATCCCACCGACGAAGGCGTGACTTCAACAACCAGCAGTTGTATATAACTGCCCGGCTAGCTCAATCGGTAGAGCGTGAGACTCTTAATCTCAAGGTTGTGGGTTCGACCCGTAAGTTTCATTCAGCGATCGTCAACATCAATGCAGCAACTAACATATACCAGCCACGTCGGGCTCAATTCCCGTCAGCGATTGACACCACCTTTTTGCCCATTTTTGCCCATTTGTCGTTGAATTAGATAGTCGAACATTCACATCTATGTACCTCTTTAATTGCAACTTTAGAATCTTGCATTTTGCTCTGCTGTCATTAAATAGGGTTGAAAATCCTCGTCTCGCCTAGAAAATGAGTCTTACTTAAAGCACCTCAGCCCCCCCTTTGTGTTCACAGGTAGCCAATTCCGGATCTCAAACCTTCATCCGCCTTCGAACCTCGACCTCAGCCCCAAAGTTTGGCTGTACGATCATTTGCTTGATCTGATTCTGTGGCCTTTCCGTAGTCTCAAGACCAGCACTGCCCTTCAGATGGATATCATAGTTCATTAACAACTCGATGAATATGCACTTGATCACATAAACAGCGAAGAAGCGCCCCGGACATGCATGCGGGCCGTGCCCAAAGTTGAACGCATCTGGCCCTGTGGTCGCAGCTTGGTGCTTCATCTCACGACCTGGCTGGTCTCGAAGACGAGCGAAACGGAAACCATCAAACTCGCTAGGTGACGCGTTGCCGGTTTCGGCGTTGTACTCTGGGCTGAAGGTCTTCGTTGTGGTAGAGTTACTGAGAGTGTGTGAGCCTCAGTCCAACGTTAAGAATGTGCTCGCATGCCTCGAGGCTTCAATGAGACTTACTACACGGCCCACAAGGGAAAGGAAATGGCTGCTCCAGCAGGCAATTTCATGCCATTTGAAAAGGTTTGATCTTTGCGAAGCCTTCGAGATGTCCCGGCTTTTTTCTCCAGGTGAGTTTTGAATTTGAGTTTATTACAAGGATAGTGACTTACCAAGGCTCAATGGACTTGTGCGCTGACTTTCTTTGATGAAGCTATCAAGCTTCTTCAGTTTGCCCACAGAAGACTTTGATAGAAACACTTGTCCGTTTTCGTCACTTTCTACACCATCTTCCTTGATGACTCCCGCAATCTCCTCACGGAGAGGCTCGATGTATTCGGGGCGGCCAAGCAAGTCGTGCAGAGCCTAGGAGACGTTAGCTCGAGCTTTGAACCATCCATCGACTTTCCTACCAACGTAGTCGTTCCGGAAGTTGTGTGAATGGCAGCGAATGAAAGCAACATCTGATTAGTCCCCATCGTCTCAGGAGTCTTCTCTTTAGCGCTCAGATACTTCATCATCCATGATACAAAAGCTCCAGGAGCGCCTGGTTTCGCCGGCTTTTCGTCAGGCAAGTTCCCATTTCGAAGAACTTCCTTCACCAGAGGTCGCATGTGCTCGTTTGCTTTTTGGAGCGCACGGCGCGTATGCCGCACTTCAGGAAGAAACGGAAGAACAAAAGGCCTGATCCAGGGGTTCCATTGGAGGGCAGCCATGCGACTTTTCCCCACGTCCGTAGCGAAGGTGATCGAAGCCCGGATCCAATCCTCCTCGCGACTCAAAGGCAGGCCAACGAAGACTCGGCCACTCATCAAGCCAATCATGCGGAGAACCATGTGGTACGAATTGAACGTTTTCCACTCTGCCGAATCCCCAATTAGCTGGTTCAAGCCGAACTGGGCTTCCTCCTGTATTGGTCGGAGGACACCGGACATATTCCTGGTCAAGTCGACCCGTACAGCCTCGATTACTTCTCCTCGACTTTCTCCGACGTGAGTGTAACGGCCGAGAAAGATGTCATAGATCTCAGCCGCAAAGGACATCTCCGTGTCTGGTGCTTGGATGACCTCCTGGTACAGGTTCATTGGAAGCATGACCCGTGGGGGGTCACTTGGAACCACGAAAGCCGTGTCTGGATACTGCCATTTGAGTCTTGATTAATTGACCATTCGCTAAAGAGAACGGGACCTGTGGCCTTATTACCTTTTGATAGCCGTCGATGATAGCGGAGGACAGATTCTGTTCATCAGGAGACCCGACGAGTGGAAGCCCATAATTCGGCTTAATCTTCTTGCGCAGTCGATCAAATGCGACTATCACAGCCGCGAGAACGACCGGTGCCCATAATAGCCACATAGTGTTTTCGATATTCCGAGGAGCACAGACTTATGAGGCCAGATGGAGATCGACGAGGTCGATAAACGTCCCTTGAAGTTCGACTTGCGGAAGAATCGGATCTTTCTACTCTGTACGACACCATCTGAACGATGAACGTCGCACTTTGTCATATAGTCCGAACGGACTACGGATGACGAGAACGGCATCTCCGCGTTCCCCACGTGCTTTTGGGGCCCTTTAGTCCTCTCGTTGTCGCAAACCTTAGCGGTGACGTACAATCAGGGAGCAAATTTCGCCGACGGAGGCGGAGGAAAGCTTACTGAGACCCTGCTACCCTGCCACCTTGGATCCTTCGCGTAATACGAAATGCTGACCGTGTTCGGCATATCATATCAGCGCTAGAGCCATTAGGTTTCGCGAGGGCGTAAGCAACTTGTTTCTTGCGTAAAGGAAAAAGTAAACATAACAGTGGTGGAACCTTTTTCGACTGCCAAATCATTCCCTGAACGGCGATACGCTGCCGACACTCGTTCTATGTTTCATGGCATATCCGCGCCAAGCTGGCGGTCAGACGGTTGGCTGTTTGGAGCATAGAAATCGTCGATTTGGAAGGTAGGATGCCCGCTAAGATGCTGACATCTGCAAGGATGGTCTTCTAGCTCGTGTGACAATCAACCTGGCAAGAATGCATTGGTCGGCGCCGTTGAAAAGAATGGCTTGAACGCTTTCTGGCAGTACTTCGACATCACTTGGCACTTCAGAGCCATTGGCATAAATCGATGAGTGTGGCATAGAGGATGACAAAGCCCCTGGGTACCCTAAAATCATTCTACTGACGATTTTAGATGAACTGGGTGTTGCGCATTTTGCTCTCGACACTATGGTGATGATCTGGACGTTTGCTGTCCTTTCAGGAGTAAGACATAGTTCTAACACTGGCGAATGCTGCAGTTATTCTCACGTATCAATGATTTCTCCACTAAATGACAAAGATGTATAGGATCGAAGCTCCAGTCTCCTTCAAAGACAGGGGCGTCAAGAGCGACGAGATCTTATTACGCGCGATCCATGCCCCTAGGCGAAGTAGGCTCGAGATTTCAAGGTTGCCTCGACCTTCGTGCTATCTTTCGTGTGATATGAAGAATGAAACAAAATCAGCAAGTTCGTGCAATAATCGTACGAGTGGCGGGGGGAGGGGGGGCTCATGGTGTAGTTTACAAGATGGAAGTTCGATTTGAAGACTTGGAAGTCGCAAGATGCAGAGTACCTTCGTAGAATTGAAGCAAAATACAACGAGAGGGTTCGAGGTTCTCTATACAACGGCAATAAATAGCCCGGCGGTATGATTCGTCGCCACACGCATAGCATCTACTGGCTGGTAGTGTAAGTCAGCCCTTCATGGTTGGATAGCATACCGCTCCGTAAGATTTCATTCGATTAAAGCGATTAGAAATTATTCGAAACCAATCACAACATTAAAGAAGCTCTATGTCGGTAGGCCAGCTGGACTCTAGTACGCCCCATGTGTGATCGTCCTTATGCCCCATGGGTTGACGGTACGATTACCCGATAACCCGAACCAAGGAGTATTAAAGACCAGGTGCACCACCCCCATCGTCAGTAAGTAATGTTTCTGAAACACTCGACGTCTTTACCGTTCCATTCCAGGTCCACAATGCGATTTTCATGAGGCCAGTTGTCCAGAGGCCAGTTGTCCAGAGGAGAGCGGCCCGGCACGTGGCTCCGAATTGGGATTTCGGAAGGGAAGCTGTCGGATCCAATCAGGGATCTTGGCCTTGCTCGGCAATTCGAGCATATAGCTATCTTCCAACTAATCAGATCTTAGCCGCCTGCCAGGCACGGCAGCCGGAATTAAACGATTGTTTGGTACAGCAATCTATCTCGCACATCTAACCACCGCATGTTGCACCAAATCTGGTGCTTTGCCCTGGATTGTGCGTCGATCCTCTCTCAAATGGGCTTCTCGGATGGAGGACTGTATTTACGGTCCTTTGGTGCCGCAAAACCGTCGCATTGTGACGAGGCGTCCTTGATCCCGTTTTAGACATGGCAATGTTTGCTCCGGGATTGATGGAAGAGATGCCGCCATAGCAAAGGAGATCAATGTGTCAAGTCTCGGGCTATAAGAAGCAGCAACTTTTCTATACGGAAAAAATGTTGCGAATTGGTTGATATCCTCAAAAGCAAACCTGCTGTCCGAGTAGCTGCCATAGCTGGAGTTTCGCCATCCAGTTTGGTCAATCGTCAAAATGCATTTCGCTTCACTTCTCACTCTTCTTTCCACTCTTGGAGCAGTATCAGCATCACCACGCTTTGGTACTAGAGGGCATCACTTTCGCCGTGGAGGCACCGGCAACGACACAACAAACCCATTCGACGGGAAGAAGCTCTACGCCAATCCAGACTGGGCCGATAAGCTTGAACAGACTCATGATGCATTCGTGGCAAAGGGAGACACAGTAAACGCAGGCAAGGTCAGAACCATCCAGGACATTGGTACATTTGTCTGGATTGCGGACGTTGCGGGTCTTGCCAATATCGACACGGCTATTGAACGAGCCCGTGCCGTCCAGTCCAAAACGGGCGAGCAGCAGATTGTTGGTCTAGTGCTCTACGACCTCCCCGACAGAGACTGCAGTGCAGGAGAGAGTGCCGGCGAATTTAGCAGCGAGAACAATGGGCTTGAGTTGTACAAGGCGACTTTCATCAAACCGTACGCAGAGAAGCTGGCTGCTGCCAGCGACTTGACCTTTGCGGTTGTTCTGGAGCCAGATTCCCTGGCGAACCTTGTGACGAACTTGGGAGTCGAGTTCTGTGCCAAGGCGCAACCGGTATATGAGGAAGGTATTGCGTATGCCATTTCAAGCTTGCAGTATGATCATGTCAATCTCTACATCGATGCTGCCCATGGTGGTTGGTTAGGCTGGGACGATAACCTGGCGCCTTGTAAGTATCTGTCAAAACATCCAAGCCACATGTAAGGATATAAACTGACAATGAACACAGCCGCAAAACTTTTTGCCAAGGTCGTCCAGAAATCTGGCAACAACACCAAGATCCGAGGTTTCTCGACCAACGTCTCAAACTATAATCCCTTCCACGCCGATCCTCGCGCAAACTACACAGAATGGAGCAACTCGTATGACGAGAACAACTACGCGTTATCCCTTTCTCCCCATCTTGAAGCCGAAGGCTTGCCATCACGGTTCATCATTGATCAAGGCCGTGTTTCCAACAGCAGAGCTGAGTGGGGTGAATGGTGCAACGTCCACCCCGCCGGCTTCGGTATGCAGCCCGGCACGCCGGTGAATAACACCCACATCGACTCCATTGTGTGGGTTAAGCCCGGAGGAGAGAGTGATGGACGTTGCGGGCTTGAGGGTGCGCCCAGAGCTGGTGCTTGGTTTGACGAATATGTGCAGATGTTGGTCGAGAATGCGGACCCATCTATCCTTCCGAGTGACGCCTGAGAAGTAGTCTTTATCTCATTTCCTACAAGGACTGCCTAGTCATGGGCTATGTTCGTAGGAGTTCCTTCTTGTTTATGGTATTTGATTAGTAGAAGTATATAAGGCACAAATCAACCAGAGAGTATACGATAATACTGCAGTCAGTCGAAGTTGTGGACACCTACGTCATGCTTGAAATATCAAGGACCATCGACATGCCCTGGCGTATATTACATCATGTACCATATCATATCGACACGTAAATCTACAAGAATTACCAGAGTTTCTTCCATCGTACCTTGACATCGCGATCCGGCGGAACAGCAGCTGTACCAAAGTACCGCTCATCATCCATTGGGGATCGATCAGATTTTGATCCGTCCAAGTTTGTCCACTCAACAAACTCCATGTCAAATTTTGTGACAAGGATGGCAATTGTAAGGAGAATTTCTTGTTTGGCAAAGAACCGCCCTGGACACATCGAAGGTCCACCACCTGTGAGAGCCATTATATCAGTTGGTCTATTGTTCAAGGTGTTCCAAGACGTCCTGAGTCATTGATAGAAATATTGAAGGAGTTCACTTACCAAAGGGGATGAATTCATTGGACTTTCCGGCCAAGACGAACTGCCTTTCAGTGGTCAGTCGACCAGTATTTTCTTCCACCTTTTTGACATGCTTGACATGTCTATCTGCCCAGAACTCCGCAGCAGGATGCCCTCCATGGTTCCATATGTTCTCGTCCAAGTGCACAAGATGCGTCGGAGCTTGTATCATTGAACCCTTTCTCAAGCGAAAACCGTGGAGCGTGGTAGTCTCGACGACTTCTCTGGAGAGCGCAATGGAGACGTGAAGACGCATGCACTCTGTGTACACAGACTGCATCAGCGGCATGGAGACAAGCTTGGACACGTCGAAGGATCGCTTCCCGGTGACGGGGTCCACGTTTAGGGTCTGGAGAGCTTCGCTGCGAACCGCCTGCAACAGTTCGCGATCTCGCAGGAGCTCAATCATCGCCCATGTGGTAATCGGTATGGTGTTTGCGTTTATACTAACCGATGAGCGTCAAAATTAATCCAAGATCAATACGTTGTTACACTTACCCAAAAATTGCAATCATGTAGAATCCAGCTTTGGTCTCCGGAGCCATGTCTGTATCCTGAAGCCATTTGATGATCTTGCGAACGTAGCTTGACCCGAATGTGGGCTCCCAGGCAGATTTCGCCCCAGGACCATCCCAATCAAAATTTTCCAAGGCTTCTTTCAGGTACTTTTGCGTCATGCCGTTCAGTTTATCGCGTTCACTCACCGGTTTGCTGTTGATCCACTTCGGTAGGCCGTACACAACCTGGAAAGCGATGCTATCGAATCGCCAAAACTGTTCAACATAGTCCGGGACCATCTCTAATAGCTTGGTACCACAAAACGATTTGATGGCGCTTGAACACATTTCTTTCCTCAAGAAACCCAGAAGACAAACAGTCGCCCATTGGCCTAGAGGCTGCTTTTCCAAAGCTTCATTGAAGAATTTCGTATAACTCTCTGCTAAATGAGAAGTGGGCTCCGCGCGTGATAGGTTTTCGGCGGTAATATGGTGCAGAGCGTACCAGAATCGCTCTTCTTGCGGTGTATTCTCGTAGCCTGGCGCGGGTATTCTTTGTCGCCCTGATTGGTCGTTTGCAAACTTGGCGACATCTTTCTCAGCTGAACCTTGCAGATTTCGCATGACGAGCAGGATGAACTTGTTCGAGCTGATGCTAGTAGATGAGCGGAACATTGCTTGAACGCTTTCTCCTCCTTGTACGAAATAAACGCGCATGGGGCCCAAGTAGAATTTGACGATGTTGCTATATTTCATGGCACGACTTGCAAGATCAGAGTCAGCTGCGCTTCAACCCTATGAGCATTGGAACGTTTCTTATTGAAATACCTTGCACGATTCATGAGCGTCTTGCTATCTGTCATGTACTGGTAGGTATTGCTGATGAATGGTATGATCTCGGGGAGTGATGGCGGCTCATCTTCACTTGACCGACGTAGGCAAAGGAGGCACAGTACGGGTATCAAAAGTACTATGACCGCCGTTGTAGGATGACTAAAGATCCACTCAAATACTCTCAACATTTTGGAAGGCATTGTGGGCATGAAGACTGCTGGTTTGGCCAACGGGAAGGTGTTCAGGTCGCATGTTGTGGAACGCAAACATCGCGCCTCTTCCTCACGCCACCAACAGGTGCGGGGTCTATGACCATAAGATGAACCTGAGGGATTCCACAAACAAAGCGCCCCGGCGCTTACGGGTGCCTCACATCACATGACTGAGCTCGGCCATATTACTGCGCTAATAATTAACTAGGACAGTTAGCGGATAAGAATGCGAGTCCTACTATAGGCAAGCAGCTCGCCGGTGGGATCTTGTCTTCATGCGTCAAATATTGGCGACAAGCATCCTGATATTGAACCTGAATTTCGTGAAGATGCCTTGACATTCCAATTAGATCCCCTGACTCTCTGCATTACCTATTCCTCAGAATGTTCGTCGATATTCAATCTCAGGCTTCCCATTGAAGACAAGACCTCCGATATGTCGGACGGCTCGCTCCAATTCCCTTGCAGAGTCATGCTGACGGATGAGGTGATGGAATCGTGATTTCTCAATGTAGGCCTCACCTTTTTCTCCACTAGATCGAAAGCATCTTTTCGAATTCTCTGAAGCAATCTGTCGAACATAACTTGTCGCCTTTCTTCTCCTCCATCGCCTTCGGAACGGAGGACATCAGGCAGGCGCCAGCTGATGTAAAGGTTCTTATGACTGCTCCGGTGCTCGACGCCGGACCGGTGCTCCTCGAAATAGTACTCGCAAAGCCTGCAGATGGGCTTGCTACTACCAATATACATCCAATCCTTGAAGAATCTGGTGGGCGAAACACTCCCAGCTGTTTTCTCGAGGTGATTGAGAAGCAAGATCTCTGAGTGAACAATGGGGCGAAAGTTGTCTTTCTGGTATTCTGTCTTAATCCTTTGGTCCAGATGCATGATTTGCAGGTCATGAACACATTCTCTAAACCTTTCGATGAGGTGTTCTTTGCGGGTCATGCGACCAACGATGCTTTCGGCGGTCATACTCTTGTTCCGCCCTGGACACTTGTTCGGCTGACTTGATGGACAGGCCAAGATTTCGAAGTTACGGAATATCTCAGGCCAATTGTCCTTTGCAAGAATGAAGAACTCAATATCCTTGCAATATGACAGAAGGCGGTTAACCATGTGTCGCGTCTCGGGCCAACAAGCAGAGGAATTGCTTGTTACTCCATTCAGACGAATTCCTGTGGCTCGTTGGTCGATGTGTCCCCAAACCTCCGACGCTTTCAAGCTTATCAGATTGTGGAGAAGGATATTACATCTGTGCAGGTCTGTGGCATTCTCCTATTAGGTCAACCACTCCTGAATACACACCCTTGAATGCAATTGGATGGGACATTGCTAACACTGGGACTGGGTAGCCATTCTGGCATGGTGAAATCCAAGTAGGTCTAGAGTCCTCCTCAGGGCTTGGACAGTTGAGTTCTCTATCGAAATACCATAAGTTAGTTGCACCTGAATGCTGGCTGACCATTGTTCCGCATTTCGACCTACCATCTCGGTTATTGTCGATGCAAAGCTGGATTTCTGTTTCGAGTCTACTCATATAGGAGTTGATTCTAGGTCTGTTGAACCAGAGCACTGCGTTGAGCAAGTCCTTGCGCAGCTCCGAGACGTTTCCTGACGTTGATGCCCTGTCAACTCGCTCGAGTAGATGTCGAATGTAAGCTCTAATATTTTCAAGATCATTGTGACTTCGCTGATTTGATGCAAGGTGATACTCAACCTTTGCGCTCCCAGAACCGCGAAGCAACATGATTGAGGTTACAGTGCCGCCCCCGTTGCCCGGGATACTGTCGCAAACATGGGCTAGCTTGTATACAAATGCCTGGAAGATTTTCTTAACGTCTCCGCGATAGTTGAGATCTTCTGGATCGACAAACTCGGCCAGGTTTGTCATTTCATCGTTCAATGCTTTGAGGAGGACTAAGGGCTCATAGAACTTGTTGATGACTCGAGACTTCATCGAGATAAGTTCAGCTGTAGCAGCAATTAGCGTCGGTGAAATGAACATCTATACACAGCATCAAGAAACGCATTGTACAAACGTTGTTCGGCTGCAGCGGACATCATAGTGATGCGGCAAATGTTGCGAAAGGACCGTGGTAAGCAACTGCAAGTCGAAAGCACCAACCTCCTTCGGCGCGACTCTGATGTTGGCACTAAGGTAGCTACATTATATTCGCAACCTCATGAAAAGCGGAAAAATGTTGCGACAAGCAATGGCCGTAAATCACGGGACGAGGTGACCAAAGATGTTAATGCGATCGTTCTGGTATGCCTTAGGTACTTCGTGTATCAGCAGCAGGAGGCCATCCCACCATTCCGAGAAGTATGAGCTCGTCCCAACGAATTTAAGGTTAGACTTCCAAAGCTTTCGCGCCGGCCAGAAACAGGCCTTTGCGCTTCTTCACTTCATTGGTAAGCCTCTCCGCGAAGCTCGAAAGTCAGACTGATCTAGATAAGGTCCGAAGTGGTGATAGGCTTAAGTCTCGTGACATCAGGGGCTATTGATGTGTTGGGGAATCCGGTGCCGAGCATACCGGCCCGATGCAAACCCCACAGCATTTGCGACTTCCCTTGCGGCCGCATGATATGAATGTATATATCCTGACCATGGATCGTCGCCAATATTTCTGACACATTGAAATATCATCCTTCCTGCTCTAACCGCTGCCGGAGTAGACGTAATTTTCGTTCGCTAACGTGGTTGCGGCACATTTGATCAACTGGTATCATGAACTTTTCGATACCTCCTGAGCAATATGAGGATCTGGATAGCCCTAGCATGGTGCTCACTGAGCTTCCAGGCAGTGAAGGGTTTACGTCGATACCGTCAGATCCGGTGACTCCAGTCGATCTGTTGACTGAAACAGATCAGTTTTCGGTCCTTTTCCTTGACCCAACCCTTCAAGATATCGACGCTGAATTACCCTGCTACCGCGAGACCGACCATTTGGTTCAACCTACGGAGTATCCGATATACAATGAGGATGAAGTTCACATACACTGTGCTGGACATACGACCGACGTTCCGGTGATAAACAACGAGTATCCCTATGACACTCAATCACAGCCCATGATGTACACTCCTGGTCCTACCGTACAACCATACAATCTCTTCAATCTTGAAGAAGACATCCGGAGTGCTCTCGATGATCCTACTCCGACGACTTAGTTGCCGGATTTTCCACATGTTGCTGGCCTACGCTCGCCTCATCACGAGCCGGCTGGCTTCTGTTCAGGTACCTCCGAGGAGCATGGAAGGCCGACGTTTATCGTTCATGGTACTTCACCCCTCTCGCCGGCTTTGGACATGGCTAAAACCAAACTACTTAGTATCACAGCCAGGATATGTATTTTGCCTTAAGCACCAGAAGTGGTATGAGAAGGGTGACAAATTCAGGTGCGTCCGACTACTTCAACCCTTGCCAAACTTACACAATTTCTAACCTACCAATAGGCGACACGAGAGGCGACATGAAAAACGGGTCAAATGTCGTAGCGAAAAGTGCTGCAAGACATTTGCATCTACAAAGGAACGAGACGAGCACAGTTGGCGTTACCACAAAAGGTGGGCCAGGAAGAACAAGGTACCTGATCCAAGGCGACGTTGCCGTGTTTGTCGAAGACAACTATCAAAGGCGTGCTATATCAAGAGACATTTGGAACGATCTCCTGGCTGCAAAGTAGTCCTCGGCGGATTGCCTACCAAGGATCAAACTACCATGCTGTCTGATTCAGAGGACGGCGGATGTTGAGAGGGAGAGTTTCTGTCTGCGGGGCTTCAGAGCTCAGACAAGTCGCCAACTGCGTACCCGTATAGGGGCTCGTGTGATTCGCTACATTTATTAGTTCCCCCCAAACTACATTCAATTCAGTTGGTCTGATTCCCGAACCGGATCCGACGGCTCGGTCTCGCAATGGATTTGGAGTTTTGCCTACAAGCGATACGGATATACACGCGCAATTCCGCTGTGTACCTACTTAGCTAATGTAAGTCTTCTTTTGCTGGTAGTTATGTAAATGAAAGAAGACTGAACATCATAATTCCAGACTAATTTTCGTTTTCCATGAGAGCGAGTGGCATGCCTGAGCCTGAAATCCTCAACCTGATTGTATTGACCGAATAAGTCCTCAAGGACTACTGGTCAGTGAATGACTTGCCCAGCAGTGACGGTACCACGCCGTTGATACCGTAGAAAGGAAAGATCGCAAATGGGGGCCCTCGGATCCCACGGCATGCAGGATTACTTAAGGATACTGACGATGGCACACCGGCATTTCGAACCTACTCCTGGTCATCGTTCCTTGCAAGTGACGACTCAGATACACCAGCAACACGAGAGCGATTCAAGTTGTTCCGGGATCCTGGAAGCCGACCCTGACCACCAGCCCTGTCGCACTGAGGAGACGAGAGATTTTGCTAGATGAATGTAGGCAGTATGATGGAATGAAAAGATTTCGGATCCAAGTACGGATGATGGCCCTGCCAACTCACTCAACTTTGAAAGTCCACAAAACCGTCTGCGTTCTGACTTTGGCCATCATCGATAGCATTGTACTCGTCAAACTGGAAATGAAACCAGCTCCGGAGTTCACAGTAAGAAGGAAACATATTTCGCGGCGGAAGGCAGTGAGGGTCGCCGAGATTTCATTGGATTCTAAATGACGAGCAAAATGCAGTATACGCGTATTGTAGGTGCCGTGCTTGAGATTGCAATTAAAGTGAAAACATTCATTGTAAGAAATATCCACATGTAACGCTATGAATGGCAACTTTCCAGAACAAGGTTTGTCGATCGTGGAACAACTTCTCGAGGAAAACACGAGGACTGACTCGGACCATCCCCCGATGTTATTCCAGGGAGGGCGATCACTTATTGCTCTTTGCTGAGTTGAACAAGAGCTATAGTTGACCTATAAATATTGAATATATCCAAGCTGACTATCCCTTCTCTTATAGTCTTTCAGTAGAACAGTTTTCACGTCATTGATCGGGTATTGGTTTCAATTATTGCTCCGAGGTCAGTGCATTAACCGAACCAGCGCTGACGGGACACCTCACGAATTCCTCCTCAATATAGAACTGAAAGAAATCTACCTACCCTCTAGTCGAAATACTTCCTCCGAATCGCAATCATGAAGTTCCCCACGATCGTCGCCGCCATCACCTTGGTCGCCTCTGGCGTCCTTGCTACTGCGTCCGAGGGCAGCAACCTCGTGCGTCGCGACTGCTACGACTGCCACTACAAGTCTTTCGATGCCGGCCGCTGCGATGGAAGCTGCAGCAGCTCGGAGGCTGAAGGAAGCGGACAGCTTTGCCGGAAGTGCATCAGTGGCTGCCCTGCCACGACCGACGCCGATCGCGGAGCCACGCCCGCCGTCAGTTGCTAGATATTCCGAGTGGTCTAGCCATCGGGGAGATTTAGTTGAGAAGAGGTCTAGATGGGAGAAGATCGGAGGACTCGCGATTTTAATACCAATTCTGTGCCCAAATTTGAATGGTTTCCTTGGAATTACTATGCTACCATACAGATGTAAGAAATCCGGTAAACAATCTCGATCACAACAATATTGGTATTTAACCTAGACTGAGCACTCATGTGAAGCCGTAACCTTAGAAGATCGCCCATTCAGCGAATTTTGCCATTCTGAGCTGGTTGAAAACCTGATCGTCGAACAGGAAGCTCCCCGACGAAGCCATCTCAGTGGCACCAAGGAACCAGACACGGCAATACTCACTCCTGACAGGACTCGTGACCATCATCTCGAATACAAGACCGTTATTACGCGCTTGAATATCTTTCACTAGCATACCAACCATCGCATGACAGGGTACATTTTTCTGATGTGGACCTCACTTTCCAGAAAGTTGATACCATCAATCATGCAGAAAACGAGACCTGAACTAATTCGCCCTACGAGTTTCTCGAACACCGTTCATAGGACCTGTATATCAAGATATTGAACGACGTGCAAGCTGGCCTCCGTCAGGAAATCCATGTCGATTTGCCCATTTGAAGACAGCAGGATCTGTGGGATCAGGGATCTTAACAAGCCGGTAGCGCCCGGAAGTGGCCCCTCCGGATCGCAGTGAATCCGGCAAAAGAAGGCCAATGGAAAAGCGTGATACATGCGGGAAATTGTGCGAGCCAGTAGGGAACACATGTAACTCAGAGTCGAAACAACATCCGTGTGCAGTACATCAAAGTCCATGCCGCTGAGTACTAGGACTTGAGAGTTCGTAGATTTGGACCAATTTTGAAAAGTTTGATCTCGTTTGATCGAGGTTAGCCGGCCTTGTTTCTGAGGGCTTAGTGAGTTACCCACAAAGAAAACAAGTTCCGATTCTTTCTGTATACTGGAAAGCGCCTGGTTCTCAGCGTTCGCTAACAGCCCAAATCCGGGCGTCGACAGTAGCATGGAACCCGTGACTCTAGGCATAGAGAGAGTGACATAATAGTTGATCTGTTGCTGCGGCTGTGGATGGTGCTGGCTAGTCTTGGACCTCAATGCTTCGAGCGCCTCCTTTTGCCCTGTTGATAGAGTCAGTAGAACAATGCTAAAAGACACGCTACACCCGTAAAAGAAACATTGATCTTCTCTTTCAAGGCCTTGAACACGAGTCTCAAGCTATCCCATTGCTTCAAAGGACCTTTGAAACCCTTCTGTGTGTTTCTCAGCCTCGGCCGCTTTGTTGCGTGACTCCTCTCTCTGGAACTATTGGACCTGTTCCATGGTCCTCCTAGCGGTGAGCACGTTACTAGCAACATCGTCAAGCTTTAGATGGAAGCATGCTCTGACCGCATCTTCGAGTTACGCCGAAGTCTTCTCGATACACGTGGTTATCCTTTTTTCGCAGCTCAGAACCGTACTCTTCTCCGGCGAAGACCGACTTGACACCTGCTCTGAAGCCCCCAAAGCCTCTAACATGGGTTGGCGAAAGAAAAAAGAACGGCGTTCTCCACCCAACGTCAATGAGCAAAACATACCTCTCATAGGCTTTTCGAGCCTTGATACCATTGCCTCAATCGCCTCAAGCACTGTAATATCTTACGCCTCCACGGCGTGCCGAATGCGCGGTGACCACTCGTAAAGCCGGGCGTAGGTCTTAGTGGCATCAATCTCATGGACCAAAGCATCTAAAGAGTTTAGAACAATGCCAACTAACTCACGATGACGACTTGCAGCCTTCGTCACGTCGGGAGAAGACTTCAACGTGACATCGTCCTCGGGCATCACTTGCACCACAAACTAAGGTAGTTTCAGACCACCACATATTGGACTCCAGCAGTCTCCACTTGGCATCACCTCGATGAGCATCACCTCGATGAGAAACTCGACTGGACGAGATGATCGTGTGAATAGTTGGTTCCTGCAGCCGAATGAATTCTTCTGTTTCTTGTACTTGTCAGAAATAGCTCCCGCCTCCGCCATCACATCCTCCCATGAGTTTGTATTGCGTCGTATCTGCATTGACGTCGTTTGGTGTGATCTTGAAAGAAAACCTTCGATGAACCCGTCGAACTGTTGTTTCATGGTTTCGAGTCTTGCCGGTGAACATAGTAAGTTAGCACCCTTCGCTATAGTGTTGGAGCCGAGAAGCAAGAGACCTACGCTGTTGAAACCGATGGTTTCTGCAATTTCCAATATTGTGATCGAGTATTCACGCAGAGTCTTCCGAAGACCAACAATGTATCAAACTTCCTCATGGCCGTCGACGGCACAACCTCAACAACAGCAGCAGCAGCCGCAAGCATGTTATCAACCGCAGCCTTCAACGGTACAGACACAGACACCACCCCAAAACATGTTCTCCGCGCAGTAATCCGGTCATACTCAAGCACCTCTTCAGCCACAGCAAGCTTATCATCAGTCTGGATTTCCTGTGGGGTCTATGCCCAGTGGTTTCGAACAGCAAACACCTAGGTCATCACTTCAGTAGCCAGACTTTGAAAGTATGCAACAGCCAGTCGCACAGGCCCAGGCTGCTGAGAACTCAAGCCTTCAGGGGGTTTCAGGTTCATCACAATGGCTGGCGCCTTCGCTAATGTTGGAGGAAGAGGGGTGGAGTGGAGGAAAAGGATTTCCCGGGAAACAACAAGGAGATGCTCGGGAATTTATTCGTTGTCCCGTTTACTGGCATTTCTGGATGCAGGTTCCATAGCTGGTACACGAGCTTTTCTTAGTTACTGCTCATTGGAATTTGTTTATTGTGATTTGCTTCAAAATGCCTAGCAGATCATGTTCCTGCGTGGGCCAAGCCGAATCGTGTCAGGAAAAGCTTAAGGCCCTAAGCAGTACCTAACATACCTCCTTGTAACAAAGCGTTCCACTCTCAGTCTCGGTCCAGGCTGGAGGTACGAGTGCTTGTATGGTACAAGGTACAGCACTTGATGCACTGCGATACTACGTAATTCCAGGATATCGAGGAGTGTCAAGTGAGTGTTATGAACGCCTAAAAGGCATCACTGCAGTGAATAAATCGGAGAAAAACTCTACCAAGTAATGCTTAAGGTTCTGAGGTACCTGCAAACGCCGAGTCGGTCATATTGGATTTCTGGCGGCGTGTGAGCTTGTCAAGCTATCTGTCGCATTCAGTAATGGAGAGTGGATCGCAGGTCCATGCTCGACTCTGTTTCAAGCTGACTGTTGGTATCTTTCAATATGATATCTCCAGTTGCCGAGATTGGTATAATCCATCCTTCACCGACTCCTCGACTGTTGACAGTCGTGAGATAAGAATGGTAATCGTATCGTTTCTAGCATATTGTTGAGCAAGGAAGCAAATAGGTAACAAACATCATGCTAATAGGATTGATTAGCAGTATACATCGGATTATTGCTACTTGTTTTTCATCCGTACCACCCATAATTCCCAGCAGTGCAGACATACGGATCATATCCCTGGGGCTCTTTTTATTACATGTCATAGCTCTAATTGGAACCACTCGGTAGTGAGAAAATTGCCTTAGCCCCCCTCCTCAACACATCAGTATCTCCCCATTCGAGGCCCATTCGGCTCAGGTGTTGCCCTCGAAATAGTGTATTCCGTCGTGACGACAATCTTGTTTGGGTCAACATCAGGTTGGTGCCGCCTTGCCCTCATCGATTGCCGGTTGCTATTAACGGGTTCTGCTGCGACTTCAGCAATGTTCGAACCTTGTGGCAAGTAAGGACTCTGGGGCTTATCGGTAGAGCCAATCGAGGCTTCCTCTCCGCCGGCGATATTCTTCTCTACACTACTAGAGACTATGTGTTCGTCCGATCCCCAGGTGGTCTCGTTTGGAATGGAGAGCGGGTGACTTCGGGGTCCCTGCTTCCCTGGGTAGCTGCCCAGGCGATAGCCCTGACTGTCCCCCATGGCGCCGCTCTTGTTTGTACTCGCATTGCGGCTCTTGTCGATGACGCTTTTGAAAAGAGGGTAGACCATGGGCATGTTGGTGAGCACTACTGATACGAAGGACTCTCGTACAGACCAGTAGCCTGATTGAGCGGGGTCGGTGTCGCCGACCTGGGGAAGAAATGCTGTTAGTAAATGTCTGAAGCACCTACAACCTTGACGACGTTAACTTACTGTGAGGATAGAGACGCAACGGAGGATACCAAAGGTCATCTCGAGGAAGCCACCGCTGAACATGATCATGAGGGTGACCTTCTTCCTCCAGGGAAGATGGGACTTCCACACCATCTGGGTCATGTCAAATCAGCTCCCGAATCACCTATCAACTATGTCTCGATGCGCAACATACCGGCAGCGGGATAGCCATCAAATAAAAGTCCGTTACCGTGTTCTAGTCAAGCGTCAGTGATGCAGTGAGGATCTGTTGCAAACTGAACGCAACTTACCATGGCCATGACAAAGGTAGTCTGTAACACGGAAACGGCAGGCATACAAGAGTCTATCTTCAGTCAGTGCAATCACTTTCTAGGATGGAAGTTGTAACTTACTTCCCGGTGATGGGTTGATCTGCCATTGGTTCTGGAATGGAATGCACTTCATGAATGCGACTAGAAGACAGGCGACGTAGGTGATGGGCATGATAATCATCGCCCAGAAGATGACTCGCTTCATCTTGTGAACACCATCACTACCAACCATTAGCACCGAAAGGTTCGATCTCGAAGAAGGATTGTGGGTTTCGCTCACGTGAGACGAGAGTAGTAAACTACCCAACATGCCTTCAACAGCCATAGCAGAGTCGTGTACAGCAGAAGACCAATGACATGCGTCTTGGAGCCATTGACGCGCAATAACCACTCTGGTGACGCCGGATCTAGAGCAGCTCGTTGATCGTCTGTCATGCCATTGTTGGCGAACCCTTTCCAATACGCTACGACGAAATATGCCGCGACCGATTCTGCAGTATAAACCAGCTATCGGAGAGATTAGTCAAGTGTAAGTTCAATATTGACTTAGTCACGAAAATGCTTACAATTGCTAGAAACATCAGAGCGTCATCCCAAGCAAACTTCCTCCATCCTAAGGTAGAGGCTCGGCTGTAATATCGTAATCCGACTACGAGATAGGCAGCACCCTGCAAGCCCCAGACCTCCTGGATGAATGCGTTTGCTTCAGCGGCGGACATCTTGTCCTCAAACAATAAACTTAATGAGAAGAACAGCCAAAGATGAAAACAAACAGAAGCATAGCCGGACCCAGCAGCTAAGTCAGATGAAAGGAGATTGAGCGGGAAATACAAAGTGTAAATAACAACCCGACAAAAACTCTCAGCAGATGTCGACGCGATGACCTTGAGCATGTAGCCCCGTGCGCCTGGGAGCTTGAATCGCTCATGTGTCACTGCTCTTCTTTCTCCTTAAGGGCCTTGTGCCTGTTCCCTGCTCGGTGCTCCTGGTTCAGTGTTCACAATATCTAGCAAGTTCCATGCCGATCGTGAGGCCATTGCAGGGGAAGGTCTGAATTGGGTGCTTATGATGTACAGTCCATCTCTCGGGACTGAGGGTGGTTAAGGCACGAACGGTGTCAGCGTACGGACTGCTCCGTTTGCTCGCATCCTCGACGGGTCAAGGGGATATCGTCACGGAGCCCGCTCCGCTTTCGATAACGACGGTGGCATAGGAGAACTGCCCCAGTCGTTTTCCACTCTGGATACCACATGAGGACCAAACCGTCCGATCGAAGGTTTGCTCGGGGAACCGGAGGGCCAGCCGGGAACGTTGGTCCTCCCCAGAGCCACAGGTGATCTAGGCTCGCCGTTGGTTAAAACCGAGACCTGTGGCGCTACGCCATCATCATTTCTGAACCAATCCGTACTGAAGCTAGGTTTTAGACAGTTCACTAATCGAGTCCAGTCAGCAGAAATTCTCCTTTGGAACTGGCGGACTGTGACGGGTGAACATCATTCATCATTAGTGATGTCTTGAACCCTGGTGGCTGGTCTAGGATAGTCTTCAACATCCAATGCGGCTCCCCTGAGGTTCTCCTTGTTATATTGCATGAAACAGCATTTTACAAAGTTCCCACGACCCTGGAGCCGTCTACCCGCGTTGCGCGCTTCCGGCTTCTGTTTGCCTGCCTCGCTTGCGGTGCAAATAGGACATAACGCACTTATGTTCTGTCATATTTCTTTGCGGCCCAATGGAACTGTAGGAATGTCAATCTCGAGGTCTTGGCCGCATTGAAGCCCTGCTGGGAACCCAGTCGCTCGGACGCCTGAGGTGCAGCATATCATTCCATCTTCTTTCGGGGCCCCAGTCGCAGGAGCACTGATCAACGCCTCGTAATGTCGGGAGCTATTCACCCTTTTTGCAACTCTGGGTTACCATTTGGAGTGTTTTCGCCAGAGTGACTCCAGTGTGATAATACAATGTGACGAGTCAGTTCGAGATCCAACGACGGCAATGAGTGGTATTCGAGCTGTAAAAAGGTGGTAACTCTGTGGATACGGACGTGGTAGAGCACGAATCAAGATCTTGTCGATGCGAGAATCTGCAGATAATTCTGCCCAGGGTTTGTTCTCCATAGTGGAAACTGCTGCTCAAGGGTCCCGGGGTTTGATACCTACTCCATTCCGTAATTGGAGAGACAACGTCGTCCGTACGCGAATAAGCGTTACAACGAACTCTTAACTCGCGCAATACCGCGCCCGTCAATCGGGACCTTGTCGCGGCAATAGTCCGACTGTTATCAAATCTTGAAGAAATCGTCGTTTACCTCTATCAATGTGCCCGTCCCATCAACTCGTCCCTGCAACGGAAGAATGCCACGTCAACCAGCCATTTAACGTAACTGCCGGTGGGATCGCCGATACACCGCGGTCTCGAGATGCACCACCGTCCACAATTTACGGTTACGGTTGGCTTCTGACCCAACGACGGACCCATCATTAACGGGCGGGCTAGTGGAGGAGCCGTTCCGTGGTCTCCACGGGTTGCGAATCCGTCTCCCCAACGTCGGCGAGAAGCGCGTGAACCTTCGAGTCGCATCGAGGGTGTACTTCGTAGGCGATATCACCCGAAGCACATCGCTTAGCCATTTCCTTAACCATGGTGTTGGGACCCCCTCCACGTCTAACGGCGCGCCATTCTAACCGTTGATAAAGGGCCCATAATCCATATGAATGGCGCACGGACAAGTATCCTGCTTTTCCATTTCGGTTCTGACTCGAGCCAGAAAGGGGAACAGATCGCCCACCATACATGGCTCCAGGGCCCATCAACACCGCGCCCTTGTCCGCGGGACGCTCCCGGGTGTTGGAGTGACGAGCCCAAGGTCCCAGCACCGCGCCGTTGAAGACCCCCGCAGTCTTTTTTGGAGATGGTGGTACAGGATCCTGCTCCTCTGTCGCATCAAACCCATTGCTCAACCAACCATTGCACCCATTGGGTTGGTCTGGCAGAGAAGTAGAGCTCATTGAATGGGAGTGGGGAGGTCCAGCCAAAAACTCTCATCAAGGGGTCGCTCTCTCGAAGACGAGTCAAGATGCTGACGGGCCCCGCGACGTGAGCATATGCGAGCCATCCCGCTTCGTCTTGTCAACGCACAGCTCGCACTCTCTTTTCCTCGCTTTTCCACATTTCCTGAACGCCTGAACGCCAAACTCTAAACCTCAAGTTTGTAAACGCCGTGCCGGACGAAGCCAAGCAAACATGGCCACTTCCGAATCGAACGTAGATGTGTAAGCCTCCTCACAGACAGCCTGCTTAACATAGGTATTGCCCACAAGCATGCGCAATATCTCACTAACCTCACGTCTCACAGGCTCATCATTGGCGCGGGCCCTGCGGGGTAAGTTCAAGCAGCGCGACATGACGCTTTCTTTTCCCCAAACGCTCGGTGCCAGTGGGCTGACGATTGTGAATGCTGGCGCAGGTTGATGGCAGCTGCCTGGATGGCGCATTGCGGCGTTAACGCTCGTATTGTCGACAAGAGAAACACAAAGATCTTTTGCGGCCAGGCCGATGGACTCCAATGTCGCAGTCTAGAGATCTTTGACTCGCTCGGCTTCGCAGACCGGGCCTGGAAGGAGGCCAATCACATGATTGAGGTATAGTTTACAACTGACACTCTGTTACTGAATGTCTCACACTAACTTTTTTATCAGATTTGCATGTGGGTATGTGATCAATTTCAGCATCAGCTCATGGCAATTGGCAAAGACAAACACTCACAGCTATTAGAACCCCGGCAATGATGGTATAATTCGCCGCAGCGACAGAATCCCAGACACCATCGTCGGCCTATCACGCTTCCAGCAGATCGTCCTCCAGCAAGGTCGCATCGAACGGTTCTTCCTGGAGAATATCAAGAAGCACTCCAAGGACGCGATCAAGGTTGAACGCGGGGTTCTTCCCGAGTCCCTTGAGATTGATCTGTCCAAGGTTGACGATGATGCCGCCTACCCAGTGACAGTCAAGCTTCGCACACTTAATGAGGAAGAGTCTACCCCTCCTCAGGCTGTTAACGCGAGCAAGATCCCTGACGGTCTGTTCCGGAGCAACTTGATCCGGGACGATGATGAGGCAGACTTGATTAAGAAGGCCCAGGACAGAGCCGGCGCAAGTGAAATTGTTCACGCCAAGTATGTCATTGGCTGTGATGGTGCTCGCAGTTGGACTCGGAGGGCCCTAGGATTTGAGCTCGACGGAGAGGCTACAGATTTCATTTGGGGTGTCATGGACATTATCCCCATCACTGACTTCCGTATGATCTCGCTTTTACTATTCCTATTTTTGTGCAATGCTAATACCTGAGCCCAAACAGCCGATATCCGCATGCGATGTGCTATTCACTCCGCCGAGAACGGCAGTTTGATGGTCATCCCCAGAGAGAACAAGCTCGTCCGACTCTACATCCAGCTTAAAGAGGTCGCCCCGGATGCATCCGGAAGAGCAGACCGCTCCAAGATCACGCCCGAGCTCATTTTCGGCGCTGCGCAAAAGATTCTCAGCCCGTACAAGATTGAGTACGAATACTGCGACTGGTGGACCGCATACCAAGTGAGTTCGACATCTTGCTTGTACAGTTTAATGATGTGATGGCCTTTGCTTACATGTTGTACCAGATTGGTCAAAGAGTAGGCACCGAGTACGATGCCCACGGCCGTGTCTTCCTCGCCGGAGACGCCGTCCACACCCACTCCCCCAAGGCCGGCCAGGGTATGAACGTGTCCATGCAAGACACATACAACCTCGGCTGGAAGGTCGCCCTGGCCGCCAAGGGCATCGCGAAACGCAACATTCTTAACACATACCAGAGCGAGCGCCGCCGCGTTGCCCAAGACCTTATCGAGTTCGACCACCGCTTCAGCCGGCTGTTCTCCGGCCGCCCGGCCAAGGACGTCCTGGACGAGGAGGGCGTCAGCATGGAAGTCTTCAAGGATGCCTTCCTCAAGGGCAATTTGTTTGCTTCCGGTCTTTCGGTTGACTACGGTGCCAGCAATCTGGTCGTCAAGGCCGGCGATTCGCTGAAGCAGGGCGATGGTAGCAAGGTGCTCAAGTCTGTCGCCTCCATCTCCGAGGAAGACTTCAAGAAGAGGCAGGCGCTGGCCACTGGCCTTCCCGTCGGTATGCGCTTCAACAGTTTCAAGGTCCTGAACCAGGCCTGCGCTCGCCCCTGGCACTTCCAGGAAAGGCTCAAGGCTGACGGCCGTTTCCGCGTCGTGCTGTTCGCGGGTAACATCCTCGATGCGTCCCAAAAGGCTCGCGTAGACAAGTTCTGCGCAGCCCTCGACGCCCCCGAGCACTTCCTTCGCAAGGCCACGCCTACCGACGCTCCCAATGACAGTGTCATCGAGGTTTTGACTATCCACTCCGCGAAGCGCACTGATACGGAGCTGCTGAGAGACTTCCCTGACATCTTGCATCCTTTTGATTCGCACACCGGCTGGGACTACAACAAGGTTTACGTTGATGATGAGAGCTATCACGAAGGCTTTGGAGACGCCTACAAGAACTACGGCGTCGACAAGCAAAGGGGCTGCGTTGTGGTTGTGCGACCTGACCAGTACGTTGCGTGGATTGGTGAGCTCGAAGACTTTGACGATTTGCAAAAGTATTTCGAGGGATGTCTGGTCTTGGACCAGCCAGCTACAAATGGAGTTAATGGCACGAACGGGACTTCATTGCCGGTCCGCTAAAGGTGCATGGGCTCTTAGCCGTCGGCATCTGGGGCCAAAGCAGGTAGCTCGTAGCTCACTGAGAGATCGTGTAATTAAGTACTTGAAGATGAGATCGTAATCAACCGCTGCTGACGAACTAATTCGCGAGACTTGAATTTGACCGAGTGCAACTCGTTTCCACCGATGAAATGTCACCCAATGTAGCATTGGGCTTCGGATAGTTGTCCTAAAAGTCTGACGGTTCATTCTATATTCTGACGAAAATCACTCAATGGTAAGTAGCAAGACCAGTCTTATTGGAGCGTGAAGCTTCTCCATTCTATACTTACATTCTGGTAATCTTCGTTCTTGTACAAATCTCGGTGTAATCTTGAAGAGAGGCAATGATGACCACCACCATTCGGAATCTTCCGGCCCTTGCTACCTATGCGTTAGCTGATCATCTTCAGGGGCTCTAGCCCTGTTAGCTCTGTCTCACTAGGAGGCGCCGCTCCCCTCACTCTAACAGTGAACCTTATAAGCCCCCCGCTGTGGGGGTACGGGCGCTACTGAGTGAGGAAGTTGCCGAGGAATTGAATGTTGAATATCGGGTTTGGAAGGGGTCGAGGAGGGTTCAGTTGCTTGCGGGAAGTGATGTGGTTTTAGTTGTCAAGTCGGGCACGTCTGACTTCAAGCCAGTCCACATGTGCAACAACACGCATTCCTTTGAATTTCGCAACGTTTACCAGAACGTACCTGGTATACCAATGGCGTAGGCAGTTTCCCTGGAGAACCGTCCGTTATTTCGCAATTTTCATCTCAACTATGCTCAAGGTTCTTACTTTACTCAAATGCTTATTCATATTAAGATCTGGAGACTCAGACCTCTTCATGTCTCTGGTGTCATTCAAGCGCGATGCCTGCCATCCGATAGCCAAGACGGTGCTTCCCCTGTTGCAGAATGCCGCTAAAAGATCACAGACCCTCAGCCTTAATCAAAAGTACTATGCTTCACGGGAGATGTGCGCTGATGCCATTCGTCCTAGAGTATCATATTGAAACAGCCTCGGTCAATTGCCTCATTTCTCATTTGAGAGAAACGCCTCGATGTTGTTCGGAGAATTAGACGCCGCTTTTCACTCGAAACAGTGAGCGATCTTCTCTTTAGCCCCTCAGTGTCGACCCTCACCACAAAGCTTACTCAAGGACTTGAGGACAGGAACACAACGCATTGACACTTCAAGCCACTCGCACTGACGGTAATCATCACACCATCGACTCCCGGGGTGAATCTCCCGCGCCTTGTCCTGGTCTAGAACTCGTCGAGCCTCGAGAGGGATCTAGGATCTGGAGCAGCCTTCCGTCACCAACATCACCACATAAGGCGCTTCCCGTTGAAGATCCCGACACCGCTTCCCACTCCACCCCCAGGATTATTGAGCTTACTCGAATTGAGCAACATCCATCAAACAACCATCCCCCCCACTAATGGCGCAAGTATGTGCAAATGAGGAAAACGCTGCGACCTCCGTCCGTCTAAGCGCTCATTCCATGTCGGTTTGGATGTCTAGTTTCTCTGAACTGCCCAAGATCAACTTCCACATGACGCTATTTTCAGTGTTCAACCATGTCGCATTACTCTCAGCCCAGGAAGGTTACCTCTTTATCGGTGATTTCACGGTCTTCCAACAGGTCTGACGAATGCCTATCCAACACTGTGAGGTGCGAGACTATAGCCAGCTAGAACCCTTGATACACGTATATAAGTCGGGAACATCTTCCGCCAAGTCATTGAAATCCCTCCTCTCATCATCGCATCACCTTCCAGAGCATTCTTTCATTCTTCTTCACCTCGAAGCAAGTCTTCCATTCTATTCTTGGCACCACGCACAACATTCACTTACACTCTCATTTCTTTCAACTATAACTATCTTTCAAAACGATTCAAGTCAAACCCAAAATCTCTCAAAAATGAAGGGCACAGTGTTCGCCACCGTTCTCGCCGCCTTCTCGGCTGGCGCCTTGGCTCACAAGGGCGGCTACAATAGCCCTACTCAAACCACCGGTGGCCAATCCGGAGGCAAAACCGGAGCCAAGTCTGGTGGCGGCGGTGGATATGGACTCCCTGGCTCCGGCGGCTCCGGCGGTAGCGGTGGCAGCGGAGGTCTGAGTGGCATTCTTCCTACTGGACTGCCTGTCGGAGGCGACAGCCAGGGTGGAATTGGCGGTCTTCTCGGCGGCGGTGGCAGCGGCAACGGCAAAGGCAATGTTCTTCCCACTGGCCTTCCCACTGGTGGTGAGGGCGGTCTCGGAGGCCTTCCAGGTGGCATTGGTGGTGGCCTTGGTGGTGGGAGCGGCGGTAACGGAGGCCTGAGTGGCATTCTTCCCACCGGTCTGCCCATCGGTGGAGGTAGCGGAGGAGGCAGCGGCGGTGGAATCGGCGACATCCTCGGGGGTGGTAACGGCAAAGGCAATGTACTTCCTACCGGGCTCCCAATTGGCGGTGGTAGCGAGGGAGGATACGGAGGTGGCGGCAGCGGCAGCGGCGCCGGCGGTATCGGCGGTATTCTCCCCACTGGCCTTCCCCTTGGTGGCGAGGGCGGCCTTGGAGGTCTCCCTGGTGGAAGCGGCAGCGGCAGTGGCAGCGGCGGAATTGGAGGTGTTCTCCCGACTGGTCTCCCCGGCGGTGGTGAGGGCGGCATCGGCGGTCTCCTGGGCGGCGGTGGTGACAAGGGTCTTGTTCTTCCTACCGGCGGAAGCGAAGGAGGCATCGGTGGTCTGCTTGGTGGTGGAGGAAACGGCGGCATTGGCGGCAGTCTCCCTACCGGCCTCCCTATCCCGGGTATTGGTGGCAGCGGAAGCGGAAGCGGAAGTGGCGGTCTCCCCATCCCCGGCATCGGAGGTAGCGGTAGCGGTAGCGGTGGCAGTGGGGGCATCGGCGGCATCATCCCCACCGGCCTCCCCATCCCGGGAATTGGCGGAAGCGGAAGTGGTAACTCCCCCTCCGGCTTCGAGACCCGAGTCCGCACCACCACTGACAGCGGCGATGGCTACAATGCTCCCGCTGCCACCCCGGCCCCAGAAGATTGGTAAATAACGTAAATTGCTTATACTACCTTAGTAGAGCTAGTCCCAGATACTATTCAAATTGAAATAAGACCCTCAAGGAGAGAACCAAAGAAAATGACAATTTGTGACGCTCTCACTCTACGGAAGCCTCTTCACACCCGAATACCCGCACGCATAACGCTAACCGTTGCACCTTAGCTCCCATTCTCGGCTGCTTCATCATCCACCTCTCCAATCATACTGTAGCCATCATCACCCTCCTCAATTGGGAGATGACCATCCCCTTCGGCACGAGTGTTGAGACTCATCTCATTCAGCCAAATCGCAGCTTCCCCCATACTGGCGGTGTCGCTATGTGTATACCTAGGTAATCCCGGTGGCACACTGGTGTGAGTGTTTGAATCATAATTCTTTCCCACGGGCCGCTTCTCATCCAGCGTCCTCTTCACGTCATCGTGCACCCTCTCCGTAATTTTTTCAAGTAAATGCAGAGTCTTCGCGTCGGGAGCACCAGAGTTGGGCCCCTCAAACACCCCGGGGAGACACCAGTTGGGGTAAAGGTTGAAGTGAGACTTTCTCACTTGCACTCGGTCGGGGTGCGCAGCAAAATAGTATGAACAGAGCCTGCAAGTAGGTTTGCTGCTGCCAATGTACTTCCAGCTGTTGAAGTAATCTCTGGGATGCTGAAGATCGTGGCTCACCAGATAGCTGTGAACGAGGACTTCAGCGTGAACGCGCGGCCTGAAGGTGTGCTTGCTGATCTGTCTGAAAATGAAGTCGTCGAGGCCGAATTTTTGCATCTCGAGGGCTTGCTCAAGATAGAACTCCTGTTCCTCTTCATCGTCTGGAATCATGTTCTTGATGATGGATGTCGCCGTGAAAGACCTGGATCTAGCGATTGGTTTCGCAGCGTCTTTGCCGGATGGGATAGCGGTGAATTTGAAGTCTTGGAATAGGTTTGGCAAGCGTTCATTGGTACCTATCATGGCATCTGCTGCCTGACGGAAGGATAGAAGCCTTCCGAGGTAGTGTCTCAAGTCGCACCAGGCCTTGGAGCTGGTCATTTCTCCGTCTTTGGCGTTTTTCCTGATAGCCTGCTCGATCTCAGTGTTTCTCATCGAGAGAGCCATCTTGATGAGCTTTTCGCAGTCACTCAAAACTTTGCGAGGGTCAGCGGTCTTTCACTATAGACTGGTATTATTGAAGCAAAAATATGCAACTTTGATATCATTGTGACTTACATTTATTTTGAAAACTCTCCGATTCAAGACTGCGGGGGAAGTCCGCTTTCTCCTTCAGTTTCGAGAGCTCCGACATGAGGGCTACAATTACGTCAGCAATCTCGTAGTATGGGGGCGGAAGTTGAGAGATGGATTTCTCACTTTCTGGTGCTTTTCGCCTCCTACAATCGTCGATGCAGGCATCTATGGATGTATCCAGTGCTTTCAGGTATAAGTTCAGACGCGGAAGGTTGAATAACAGAATTTTCCACAGCACCTGTTTGACAAGTGTCTTTTGCTTAAGGCCGGTTGGGTTCTTGCCAACAAGAGTAAGAAGGCTCTCGGCAAATTCCTGGGTCTCAGATAGCTCATCCGCGTCTCTGTGATTGGATGCGAAGAGGTACTCTGGGCCATCGGGACCGTCGAGAACAGTGACCGAGGAGACTGTCTCGCCGCCGCGCCTGTTATCGCATATCTGGGCTAGCTTGTTGACGAAGAAGTGGAAGACCTGCGCTTGGGTCGCGAGGGAATTGTTGTCCACCTCTGGAATGCCGTTGAAGACTTCTTGCCCCAAACGACAGGCCTTTTGCAAGGCGTCCTCAAGGACGATAGGTTCGTAGAAGAGCTGGCGAGGATCTATACCAACGGGCTGGATTTCATGTGTGACTTGTTGATTCATGATTGCAACAGTCTGTTTGCGGGACTGAGTGAGGTACTGAGTAGGGATAATATGGAATCAAACGGTCCGAAGAGACGGTTGTGTTGATGGATGGGAGATATTCTGAAAAGGCAAAACTGAAGTGGTTGAAAAGACGGCTCTTTTATAAGTGGAAGATGCTTCTCGTTGACAACTTCATCATTATACGGGCATATCCAATCACTCATTCCATAGACCCTAGAAAGGAATGCACTCCCGAGATCTCAACGTTTTTCCACTTCCACCAGAGCAGCATCAACATCGCTTCCATGAACATCTACATGTTTCTTGATGTCGTATGCTGCGCTTGGAAGGGCACAAAAACCATCCAATTGAGTGTAAGCCTTGAAAGCCAGTGGTTATGTCTCCCAAGAGCCTGCTTGGACCCTTGCCACAGCAGAGCTGCGCCCATTCATGATTCCGCGACCCGCGACCCGCGACCCGAGGCAATGAGGCGGCCTACTTTGGGTCGCCATGCAGCACTGCCTGCAGCGACAAGCCAGGTGTCATCAGTGCCAACTAAAAGTTCATTCACTCATATTTACATTAGCGTGAAGATCAAATGTGAAGTTTGGCTGTCCACACTAAGTGCGAACAGGAACACAGGCGCAGACCAAATTCCAAACGGCTCGATTGCCTACCTACCTTCAGCGTCTAGCTACGCCTTAAATCATTTTACATCAGATGTAGGAACCATAGGCATGAGAACAAAAAGAGAGTTTACCTCGGTAGGCTACGTTTCTTGTCGTTCATACTGGGACCCGAAATCGGAGCCTGTCGTCGAGTAGGCTGTGTTGATCAGATGTTGACCCAGCCTGTTTGATTTGATCAAAACCCCTAGAAATGCGTCTATTTGGGCTTGTATACGTGGTGTAATCAGGAAGACTGGGATGATATAAACACATGCGGGATGATTCGCTGACAGTAGCTGGCGATACCATAATGCCTGTTGGCAGGCAGCTGGCAAGCAACCGGAAAGCAGCCAGGAGTAAGTTGTCGTCATTGACACTGCCGCATGTGTCGGTAGATCTTGGACCACCCAACATGAGATATGACACCGAGAAAAGCAAGCGTACCTCGGTGCTGTTCAATTTTTATCTGCACGAATTACAATATGGCCCACTCACACAGATCGAGAAACGATGATACTTTCGTCCGGCCTCCCGCATCTTGCATGGTCGGATTTGAACTTACCTTCTTTCGGCCGCTTTTATCATTAATCATTAGTAGGATCCGGTCAAATATCTATCCTTCACTATTCGATAATTATGCCGGAATAATGCTGGGAGATCGAGCTGATACCTTGATAAGGTCACGGCCATGACACGGCCATATGAAAATGCAAAGCTCCGTAGGTGACCTGCAGCTACTTACCTAAGTGTTACCTAAAGCATGAAATCAGCTCAGATAAAAGTTAGAGCCTTTGGTCAAGAAGCCAGGCACCAACATATGGGCAGGAGGTGAATCGGGGATCGCGACTGCACGATGTCGGCTGCGTTATGGTGGCAACCGGGTTCAGCCATCAGTATCAGTGATGTGAGTGATTCTCCTACTTACAGCCTCTCGACCAGTCATAGACCTGCTACTCAAATCACATTTGCCTTATTTCAACGCCTGTGAAAATTGCGGACGCCGGGAGGGTGGCTGTTTCCTTCCGCGCGGCGCGCCTAGGGCCTAGTCCACATAGGTACTTATAGTACCTTACGTGTAGCTATGCCAGCTCTATTACGGAAGTCAACCTTTGAAGATACCTGGTACTTCCAATACATATCATGTTCATCTGATAGCGTACACATGAGCTCATCACGTTGTTTGCAGTGGAATATTTAGGGATCCATCTTACCATCCCACGGCAGCTGAAAACACTGTTGTTGTTGTTGTTGTTGTTGTATTTAACGCCGTGGCGGCCGGGCTAGAGCCCTTACCGCAGACCTCCCGAAGGGTATATGGCGTGGAGGGCCGTGAGCCAAGGCTACCTACTCTACAGTACGTCGTCTCTTTACATCGTCCTCCAAATCATGCCTTGTGGCCACTACGCGTTCTGTCTGTCCCCGGTTCCCGCTGGTGCCCCAGTTTCATTCTTTCCCAAATCGTCCCTTGGAATCGGGAGGTTCTTTGTAGTCCGCACTCACATCTACGTAGGTGTGGATGCTGCTACCGCAGACAGATCTTCTGGAAGAAGTCCGTCACGCGGAGAAAGGCCTCGAAGCCTCGTGGGTCGGTGATTAATCTCTTGAAGTAGGCCTCGAGAGATCCCATAGGGCCTATGGGCTCGGGCATACTGCGAGAGTGGAGGGTCGGCCACCGTTGCCTCCTCGCCAGCGTTAGTCGACAGTAGACCAGGTGGTCCACGTCTTTCGCCTCTCCACAAGAGCACATCATTAGAGCGTCGTCGTGGTTGAAACGTCGGTGATATTGCTCGAAGTCCCCGTGACCCGATCGTGCCGCCAGCAGGTGATGTAACGTAGCCCGCGGCAAGGCCAGTTCAGGAGGGCTGGACAGAGCTGCCTCAAGCCCCAAGTCCGCGTACCGCGGCCTTCGCTCTTTATACCACCATCTCCTGTGCTGGCTTTGTAATTTTTCCCTTGCAAGCCGCTTGATGCCCGCTAGTGTTGCCATTTGACCCATCCGCGCCGGCAGTGTCGTTCCTTCTTTGGCCAGCCGGTCCGCGGCCTCGTTTCCTTCGATGCCCTGGTGTCCCGGGGACCAGTGCGTCCGTATATCAAATATCCTGGCCGCTTCTTGGATTTCGAGGAACGCGTCTTGTGACGAGTCCGGCGCCTTGCCGCGGATGCCTTGTATAACGCTGGTGTTGTCGATACATATGTGGATTGGATGACCGCGATTGGTGAGCAGAGCCCTTCTGAGGCCGGTTCGCGCCCCTTCGACCTCGGCGTCGAACACTTCTGCTAGTCCGAGTCGGCCGCACCCTTGTGCTATGCGTTTGGAGTCTCGGTAGATGACGAAGCCGTACCCCACGGCTCCGTTCGTCGCCCTGGAGCCGTCCGAGAAGACGATCATATGGCTTTCCGGTACTGTCTTTAGCCAGCGCTCGAAAGCTTTCGCAGCCTCTTCTTTGCATTGAACTACTATCTGATCCTGTGAGCTTGGCAGGTACTGTGATTGAAGGAACGCTGGTCTTCCGCATCTTGGCAGAAGTTCAGCCGTCCGTTGTAGTCTCGTCTGTTGCTGTCCCTGCTGGGAGAGCCGCGCGACTAGCGGGTGTCGGCGATCAATCCTCTGTAGTCGGACTGCGGCCCGTAAGCGGACGCCCTCTAAGGCGACTTTGGCTGACGGTAAGCCGGCGTCTCGGAGGAGGCTACTGGTTGGCGTTGTCCTCCAGACAGGCAGAACGGCCCTTGCTGCCGCTGTAATGACGCTGTCGATCTTCTGCACGAGCCCCTTTTGGCCTGTGTTGACGGGTCTTCCTTGGAGAGGCGGATTCGTGTCTGTCTCCGCTTGGCGTCTCGAAGCCGGCTTCGTGATACCTGCGTACCATGTTTCGGCGCCGAAGAGCGCGATCGGCAGTACGCAGGAGACGACGGCTTTTCGCACGGCGGCCGCTGGGAGTCCCCTCTTTGTGTTCGTAAGCTGTCTCAGATGTTGAGCTGCCCTCTTTGCTGCAGCTACTTTTGCGTCGACATGGTGCCGGAAGGACAGTCTCTTGTCGAACCAGACACCCAGCCAGCGTACAGGTTTCGTCGAGGCCTTGACCACCAAATCCCCCGCCCGGACCTCTGGCAGCTCCGCTGGCTGGCCGTGCTTCCTAGTAAAGTGGATGACCTCGCACTTGCTCGGGTCAAAGGAGACCTTGTTCTCCAAGCCCCATCTGAGAATGCCGGCTGCGCTTCGGTTGAGTATTGCGACGTTGCTCTCCAGGGAGGGGCTGATGGCCAGAGTGGCGATGTCGTCCGCGTACCCGAATCGCGCGTTCGGGTCGTCTTCAAGTATCTCTGCGATGTAGAGCAGAAAGGCAATGGGAGATAGTGGTGACCCCTGAGGCAGCCCGCATGACAGCGGGAAGTACTCCGTTGTGCTTTCTTCCAGTCGGACTCTAGCGGTGCGGTTGCAGCAGAAGCTAAAGATCAGTCTGGTCAGGCCATGTGGCCATCCCTGCTGACGCAGTCTAATGACGAGCCGGTTCCGAAGGACGGAGTCGAACGCCCCTTTTACGTCCATAGTCAGAAGTGTCGCCGTGAGTCCTTTTAGGAGGGCCATCTCGATGTCGTGGGTGAGGCAGGTCGTCAGATCGACGGCTGACCTGCCTTGTAGAGCCCCGATCTGTTGCGGACTGATGATGCGCTCGACAATCGCCAGGGACGCCATCCTTCTGGCTATCAGTCGCTCTAGTCCCTTGCCCAGGCACGAGAGGAGCGCGATCGGCCGCCAGGACCCGGGCTTGGAGGCATCCCTGCCGGCCTTCTGGATCATGACCACCTCAGCTCTGCGGAAGGGCAGAGGAAAGTGGCCGGCCCGCATACAGGACTGGAATAGCTGCCTGACCGGTTCCGAGATGACATCCCAGCATGCCTGGAGGAGGCGTGTTGTGATGCCGTCCACACCAGGGGTCGTTGTCTTTGTTAAGGTGGCCGTCTTCACTTCTTCTCCGCTAACATTGTCCTGCCAAGTAATCGCTCGCCTCGGGACGACGGGTACGTCAAACGGGTCACCCGGTGCGTCATCTTCCGCACTAAACCTGTCGAGAAGGGCTCCCCGAAGCGCTTGAGCCTTTTCGTTAGTATCCTCGATCGTCTGGTTGTCCACAACCAATGGGGGTGCTCTGGTCAGTAGGCTCGCCTTCCGCCAACCCATGATCTGGTACAGGTCCCGGTCTGAAGCGACTCCATCGATCTTTCCGGCCCAGTATGCTCGCTTAGCCTTCCTCACCGTGCTCAGGAACGCCTTTCGTTTCTCCATTAGATAAAGGTGCGCATCTTGCTCCGTCTCCCAGGCTTGTTGGTTGCGGGCAGCACGGTATGCTCTGTGGGCCTCTGCGCATTCCTCCGTCCACCAAGCCGCGCCTTTACCATGTTTTCCTCTCTTCTTGCCGACCGCCTCAATGGCTCGGGAGAAGAGCTCGACGATGTGACTTGCCTGCCCGTCCAGGTCTTCCGGAGTAGGTTGATCCCCCAGATTGGGCATCGCAGCTAGCCCCCCTTCGATCAGGTCTCTCAGCCGAGGCAGCGCCGAGTCGGGCACTGACAGTGGCCGTGGCTGCGGGTGGCCCTCTCCCTGTGACACTGGGCGTTTGAGTAGTGGTATGACGGCCACGATGGCCTCGTGGTCAGCTCCCGGGTGTAGCTGTGGGCTGACCTGCGCGTGCGCAAAAGGGATATTAGAGAAAGCCAGGTCCAGGACATGTCCGCAATCCTGGGTTGCCACCCCAACTTCGCTGATAAGAGAGAGATTGTGGCCGTCTGCCCAGCCTGCGATGTCATCTCCCCGGTTCCCGTTCCTCGTCCCGGGCTCCCAAGAGTAGTGATGCGCGTTGAAGTCACCCGCGATCGCTGAAAACACTGGTGTCGGTAATTATTCTGGGTTAGTAGTAGCTGGAAACGGGTCAAGCACATCAACTTTGATGTCTATTTAGAGACAACATGGATGCGCTTTTCGAATACCGTTAAGGCGGGTGTTACAATTTGTTTGGGCTTTTGGGGCTATCTGGTGGCTTCGGGACGGCATCGAGCTGTAGTCGTTTGGAAATACCCGTGTAACTGTTTTTTGTGGTTGAAGTTTTGGATGGATCCCACTCGCTCGATTTACAGGCCACAACTGGAATCATTGTGTCTTGTTTGCTCTGGATTGATGTGCCCATTCTCTCGAAGTATCAGTGAATAT